TATATATATATATATATATATATATATATATATATATATAAATGGAAAATATAGTGGACTCTTTTGCTGTGACCTGAAAAAATGTGGAAATAATCAGAGCATCCCTCTGGTCGCGATTTATGGGAAAAAATAGACAAAAAAAGTGTGACACTGCTGTGAAAACAATCCCTTTGAATCACAGACTACACCCTTCTAAGCACATAAAGACAAACCAAAATAAAATGCCTGTGAAGCTGATGCACTTCAGCAGGGGAAGTGAAAAGTATCAGGCTGCTGATAGCGCTGCAGATATTTAACTAAAAGCTCAGAGCTGATTGTTTGCCTACTACTGACTTCACAGAGTCTCCATCCTGATGAAACGTCTGTGTGGGCGTTCTACACAAACATAAGTGTGCATGCACAGGGTTGGGCTGAGTAACAGCTAGTAACCATGGGGCAGTGACAGAGAAAGGTCATCTGAGATCATTTGCATGGCCTGTCAATGTTAAAGTAGGTTTCCAGTACATGGAAGGTCAGGTTTTGCATGGGACCAAGATATGAACTAAAGCTGTGATAGCAATGAGGCAATGGAACAACTGTGGCTTATTCGCATTTGTTTGATGTGAGTTTTCCATCCTCTTTTTCTTCTGACATATTAAGGGGAAATCACCAGCACTCACATGCATGCGCACGACACCCACTCATCAGCAGAACCTCTTTAGTCTCCCTTCTTTCACCAACTTGGCCCTACTCCGACACCCACCTTGTTTTAGTCTGAATAAAACGTGTCGGCGACGTGTGATGTTGCAGCTTCCATCTAACTTGGGTGCACAAGTAGAATTTGAAGAAAGTGTACAAAAACGCTATTGGATCTCATCTCTGCATGTCATTCCAGGAGGTGAGAATTTTATTTTTAGGTTAGCCCACCTGTTTGCAGAAGGTCTCATATCAAAACACCCCCAAGAGTTTGCACAAGAATAAGTAGTAAGATTGGTTATTACTCATCAGAGGTTTGCTTTGTGGTCCCTCATAGAGCAAAGTTGAAGCATGTAATGTGTTGGAGGTGAGAAGGTTTTCTCCTGAGAGATTAGTCTGCTATTGCTTTAAGATATTACTGTAGTCTGGTTGCTTCCTATTTGACTTTATGATGTTTGATCTGGTCCCAAATGAAGGCCAGTTTTCCCTCTGAGCTCTCTTCTGTCTGAGATAAACTGTAGTACTGAGTTAGCATTATTTAACTGAACAAAAACAAATATAAACATGAAGAAGATGCCAGGATGACATAAAAGATTACTTCTAAAGGGTTCTAAAGGTTACTTAGTATTTTTACTGAAAGGTTCACTAATATCATCTCTTATCATCTTCTATTGTAGTACAAAGATATCAATGAAAACTGCAGAAAAATCTATCTAATCTCATGTTTGCCGGATGAAATAATTTCTCTTAACAAGTATAAATGCACGGATAATGTCCATTTCCTAAAATAAATGGAACAAAAGCTTGGTTTGAAATCTAGTATGATTATTCATCCGCAGATAAAGATCATCTTTGGATAAAACATCACAGGTAAGACGTTTTCTTTCAGTCACTTTCCAAATTGGAAACACACAAAAAAATGAATCCGAAAAAGTAAGAAACAAACTATAAAACTACACGGATCGATATCTGCAATCAGATAAATAATTAAAAGGCCAGACTCGACTAGAACTGGGATAAACAAATAACCTGAGTTTATCTTTATAGTTAGAAAGCTGCAGCAAAGAGTGGTACCAATGCTTAGCAACAACCTTAGGATGCTATGTGCATGTAATCATACCAGAGGGGTATTTTCAGTCTAACATTACAAATGTTTACACCTTTGCTTAGTCAGATGTGGCTTATTCAATGCAATGTCAGACTTATTCTGTATTAATAGAGACATTTAGGAAGAAACATCTCATGCCCACAGGTCAAAAGTACGGTGGAGGAACCTTTAGTGCTGTGGGTTTAATTCTCTTTAAAGAGTCCCGGAGATCCATGTGTTTCTGCTCACCCCTAGGTATGGTGGCGGCTCTGTGATGGTATGGGCCTTTTTACCCTTTAAATTTCCATGTTGTGGTCTATCAGATAAAATTCCATTCAAATTGATGCTGTCTTTTTTGTTTTTGTTTTTTTTTTTATCTGGGAAAGTTGCAAGAAGTCTTAATACAGATGATTTTGGCATACAGCTCATGAAAACCCCAAATTCCTATCTCATTAAATTAGCATGAAAAAGTTCTCTAAACGAGCTATACACCTAATCACCTCAATCAACAAATTAACTCTAAACACCTGCAAAAGTTTCCTGAGGCCTTTAAAACTCCCAACCTGTTTCATCACATAAATTCCCAATCATGGGTAAGACTGCCAACCTGACTGCTGTCCAGAAGGCCATCATTGACACCCTCAAGCAAGAGGGTATGACTAAGAAAGATATTTCTTAATGAATAGGCTGTTCCCAGAGTGCTGTATTAAGGCACCTCAGTGGGAAGTATGTGGGAAGGAAAAAGTGAGGGAGAAAACGCTGCACAACGAGAAGAGGTGACCGCATTCTGAGTAAGATTGAAGAGCCGATTCCAGACCTTAGGGGACCTGCGGAAGCAGTGGACTGAGTCTGGAGTAGAAACATCCACAGTCACCGTGCACAGGCGTGTGCAGGAAATGGGCTACAGGTGCTGCATTCCACAGGTCAAGCCACATTTGAACCAGAAACAGCGGCAGAGGCACCTGACCTGGGCTACAGAGAAGCAGCACTGGACTGTTGCTCAGTTTTACATGTCATTTGGAAATAAAGGTGCCAGAGTCTGGACGAAGATTGGGGAGAAGGAAATGCCAAAATGCCAGAAGTCCAGTGTCAAGCACCCACAGTCAGTGATTGTCTGGGGTGCCATGTCAGCTGCTGGTGTTGGTCCACTGTGTTTTATCAAGGGCAGGGTCAATGCAGCTAGCTATCAGGGATTTTGGAACACTTCATCTGCTGAAAAGCTTTATGGAGATGAAGATTTCATTTTTCAGCACGACTTGGCACCTGCTCACAGAGCCAAAATAGCCAAATGGTTCACTGACCATGGTATCACTGTGCTCAATTGGCCTGTCAACTCTCCTGACCAGAACCCCATGGAGAATCTATGGGATATTGTAAAGAGAAAGTTGAGAGACGCAGGACCCAACACTGTGGATGAGCTAAAGGACCCTATCAAAGCATCCTGCGCCTCCATAACACCTAAGCAGTGCCACAGGCTGATTGCCTCCATGCCACGCCGCATTGAAGCAGTCATTTCTGCAAAAGGATTCCCGACCAAGTATTGATTGCATAACTGTACATAATTATTTGAAGGTTGACTTTTTTTTTGTATTAAGAAGACTTTTCTTTATACTTTCCTTATCTCCCTTTTATCTCCTCTTTCTTTCATATTTTCTCCTTTTTTTCTGTTTTGTCCTTTCCTGCTCTACATGCATGGCAGTGTCCATATAATCAGTAAAACTCCCTGCATAATTATAATAGTGGAACACTATGGTGATAGCTGTACTGCTCCACTTGTGAAAGAAAAATCTGTTGGGCTCTTTTTGGCATCAAGACAATTATTCTTAATGCCACATCGCCAGACAGGACACTGTAAAATTTTGTGAGGTAGGAATTTTGGGTTTTGATGAGCTGTATGCCAAAATAATACGTATTAACACAATAAAAGACCTGAAATATTTCAGTTAATGTGCAATGAATCTAAAATACAAAAATTTATTATTACATAATGGGAAATAATGTACTTTATCACAATATGCTAATATTTTGAGAAGGACCAGTATAAGGTGTCCCTTTGGAGAAAACTGGTGAAAGCAGGTGGAGGGAGAAACGAGGGACTTGTAGTAGCTGTTTGCAGCCAGCAGGAGGCGGTGTCGTTCCTCCTCCGCCTCCTCTCCACCGGTCTGCTCAGTTTGGCCAGAGCTGAGATCATAACGAGACAACAGGCAGAGGGACCTGACATTCACCGATTGGAAAAGCAAAGAGAGAGAGAGAGAGAGAGGAACACACACTCTGAAAGCCTTGATCCAGTGCAGCCGGCCAGCTAAAGCCACCTCGGTCTGCAGCCTTCGGTGCTCCGGCTCAAAGCGCGTTCAGTTGTCGCAGGAAATCTCCCCCTCCCTCCCCGTTGGATTTTTTTCTGGCTTGTAGTCGGATGCGGGCTGCTTGTTTTGACTGCAGTAACAGAGCTTTGCCCCCTCCTTCTCATTCTCCTCCTCCTCCTCCCCTCTCAGTCGAGTAGCGGATTTGTGAGGGATCTCAGCGCGGACTCACCAGCGATCCCGCACGGCACCGGGACGCGCTCTCTGCACCGCTGCGGCTCTCTGGCTGCACCAGCCCCCGATCGGTCCTCCCTGCTGAGAACACCACCAAGTTCCCCTCTGGATGCATTTAATCTTTCATTTTTTATATATACTTTGACTGCCTCATCGGATCGCCTGCTAGTCCTTTTTCGTCTCTTTCTGTTGACGCCATTTTTCCCCGGGGTTTTCCATCCACATTTATTCCCCGGCAGCGTTTGACAGCTCCCCGGGAGGCTGTCATCCACGGTGTAAAAATGTGTCTCGGCTAAATGGATTGTAAATGATCTTGATGAAATATTCACGTGTTAGAGGAGACTGTGTGACAGCATTAGACATGGGTAAGTAGCCCCGGTTGACTGAGCGCATTCCCGCACCTGAACGCACCTCCGCTGCTGCCCGCATGCCTCTGCTGATGTGAAAAATGCTTTTTCATGCGGATCTGAACTCGGACTCGTGTAGATGTGCTGTGCAGCTTGTCTGAAGCTGATGCTCGGTGCAGCGAGCGTGTTGGAGATGCTTGCAGTCACATGCCCAGAGAATAATCGCGCTTGGATCATAGCGGGCAGATTTACGCACGTAGGCAACCCAAACACTGTGGCATTGGTTATCAGTGGGCAGCACCTTGGAGCTTGTGGGTCTTTAATTAGGTATTCTCTACCATTAATGAACGATAGGTTCACCTCATTTATCAAAAACTGCTCCAGGATCAGATATTTTCCTGTAAATGTTCCTATAAATAATAATAGACATTTTGCAGATAAATTAGTTTTTTACTTCTATAGGCTGCCAAGTTGCATTGGGTTTCATAGTTTGTTGACCAATTGTTGTTAAGTTGTTAGTTTTATTGACATTTTTTTTTTTTTGGGGAAAAAGTTCCAAAAATATGTTTATGTTGGGGTCTAATATTCTTATTTATTTATTTTGCACGATCATTTAAGCATCAACTTCTGTTTTTAAATTCTTATATGTTCTTACAGCACCAATTACCAGCTGATATTTGGTTTGGACTTTGACTAGGCCATTCTGCCTCAAGCATATAGGCTTTTATCTAAACCATTGTAGTTCTGGCTGTGTGTTTACCTGCTGGAAGGTAAAGTTTCTCTCCATAGTCTTAAGTTTCTTGCAGCTTTTGACAGGTTTTCTAAAGCAACTTTAGTGTTCCTGTCAAAGAAAAAGCAACCCAACAGCATGATGCTGCCTCCACCATGTTTATGTGTTGATGTTAGTTTTTAACCACATGGGTTTTTGCATGTTGGTTTAACTTTGGTCTCTGACCTGAGCACCCAGTTCAAAGTGTTTACATGTTGCTTTGCACGTGTGTAACAAATGTTTTAACTAACAACTTTTTTATGTAAACTAGCTTAGTTTTGCAGCCTTCAGCCTCCTCTTACACTACAGAAACAAATAGGAAGACCTACCTCTTAGAAACAGTCAAGCTAAAGGGAAAAGGAATGCAAATATAGATGGATAGACCAAAACTTAATCCAGATGGACAAGAAACGAAGAATGAAGACGAGGATAGTCTAAACTGAATTTTTAGAAGTACAGTAGAGGTTCCATGATGCAATTGGCTAGTTTTGTGTTCTAAATGTTCTGCAAACCTTGCTGGAACCCATGGCATGAGGAACTGGGTGAGTCAAAAACATGGTTACCTCTGTTACCCATTGATGTTTTAGCAGGAGAATGAACTGTGTCATATATTGCTGTATGCAGCGTGAAAACCGTTATCAATCCTGTGACAGATATCCGCTTAAACACATTTTTAATACTTTTTAAGAAGGACCTATACACAGCTACATATAGTTTGATGCATATCCTCGTATTTAGCTTCTTATCTTTTTAATCACAAGAACCAGTGTAATAAAGGTCCATTAAGGTCTGCTGTTATATATTTAAAGCAAAGAAGAACTAATACAGAATCTAAAAATTTGGCATGTATTGGAATACTTGGAATCTAACCTTTACCTCCAGAACTTCTCTTAAGTCAGAAGTTGCTGCTGTTGGATCTTCATTTCTGCATGATTGTCTGCCACTTTAGTATCATGTCATGCAGAGCAAAAACAGATGTTTGTCACACCTTAGGTCTGTAAAACAAAATATCTTGATGTGTCCTCTAGTTTTATTGGATTTAATAATTCTTATATTTTCTTTCTTATAGTTTCTTGAAATAATCTAAAAAAACTTCTTATGCAGTATAGTTTCTGCTAACGAAATCTCGCTTTTCTGCAGTTAGCCTTCTTTGGGTGCTATAGAGACTATTGGGACTTGCAGCCTCTTATGGTTTGGGTTGGGGCTACAAATGAAGGAAAAGGGGATAAAAAAGATATTCAGTGAGCTGTTTGACCAGAAACACTCAAGGTAAGGCTAGGCTGAAGCAAAGAATGAGGACTGTGTGGAAAAGCATCTCCTACCCATTTCTAAGTATAGTGGAGGTCCTGTGATGTGACTGTTTCATTTAAAAACTTAACCTTTTTCAAGTGAACTGAATTTTAAACTATTTAAAATGGCATTCACACTACAAATGTGATTTTACTAGGATCATGATCCAATGATTGGGCTGAACTAAGAACTTGACAAAAAGTCAGCCTTCTGCAGTGGCCAACGCTGTCTGAAGAGACTAGTTCTATTGGTAACCTGTGAGTTTATATAAAAGATAAGTGCCTGAGAGTTCCATCCATCCATCCATCCATCCATCCATCCATCCATCCATCCATCCATCCATCCATCCATCCATCCATCCATCCATCCATCCATTTTCGTACAAGTAGGGTCGCAAGGGCTGCTGGTGCCTATCTCCAGCTGTCAATGGGCGAGAGACGGGGTACACCCTGGACAGGTTGCCAGTCCATCGAAGGGCAACACAAAGACAAACAACCATTCACGCACACACTCACACTTAAGGAGAATTTTAGAGAAGCCAGTTAACCTAACAGTCATGCTTTTGGACTGTGGGAGGAAGCCAGAGTACCCGGAGAGAACCCACGCATACTCAGGGAGAACATGCAAACTCCAGAAACCCAGAACCTTCTTGCTGCAAAGCAGCAGTGCTACCCACTGCGCCACTGAGCAGCCCCTCATGAGAGTTCCTTATATCATAAATTATCAAAGTTCTGATGCAGAACGGCTACAACATGCATACGTTCTTCCAATTTGTAGGTTGTAAAGGTAAAACACACCGCTGATCCCCCAACCAGTCAGTGATGGGTCATTTTTAGGTGGGTAAAAGAAAAAAATCAGTGGCCAAATGTTATCAGTGTTGCTTTGAAGGGAGTCCATCAGCCTATCAGCCCTTTAAAAACTTGTGTCCTGACCAGATCGGCCTGAAGATGAGCACGGCCTGAGGGGTGCAGGAGCAGAGCAGATGTTGGGTCAAGTCTCCTGAACGCGCAGGTTTGAATTTGTAGGAGTGAGCTCATGTGGGTGAGGAAGGGCAAGCAGTGCGTGACCAGGCGGGAAAAAAAGGTGATGTTGAAGGATGGATAATGGTGGTGATTTCATCGATCCTGTCTTGTTAGCACTTTCAGTCCCCCTCTCAGAACCAAGCAGTGATTTCTTTCTTTTTTGGCATAAAAAGTACAAAGGAGGCTGTTGTTTCTCACTATTAGGTAACAAGATGCTTGTGCCACCTTTAAATTAAAGCATGAGAAATCGATTAGGTGTATCCCCTTCTGGGCTGAGGACCTCGGGTCGAAATAGGATCACAGGGAGAGGAGAGGGGAGGAGGGAATGTGAACGAGATCCAAGGACAAATCTAACTGTTGGCAGTCTCTCTGAACAGAATATCGGCACTGGAGAACCTTTTGGCAGAGAGAGAGGGAGAGAGGGAGGGAAGTGGGGGGGAGAGGGAGTGAGGTGGAGGGTGAAGGAAAGCGGTAGCAGAGAGAGAGAAGAGGGGGAGAAAACAGAGGTGGGGAGTAGGGGGTGAGGTGAGGTGAGGGGGAAGGAGGAAGACAGTTGGGGAGTAGGGAGGTGTTTTTTTTTTGCTGACAGCCATTTTGTGGCTTCTGCTGCAGTTAAAATGGTTTAACATTCATCTGCTGTGTGGGGTGCAGTTAGGTGAGGATGTTTTTGTCCTACCTGGCATATGGCTTGTAGGATCTGTGTGTGCATTTGTGCGCATCGCCTCAACGAGGCATCTCTCAAGGACCATCATTTTCAATGATGGCTGCCCCACATGTGGCGCTTTATGATCGTCCTCACTGCTACCTGACAGTCGAGCACATTCATGCATCCGTGTTGAACTGGAACAGATGGAAGTGTTTATTCTTTAATTCGCAATCTTTAGAACGAGAACTTTCATGGCTTCTCTCACCTTGGCCTTCACCAAACTCGGAAAACTTGAGTTTTTTGGTTTGACTCGTAAACAGATGCGGTTCCATTTGGGACCTTTACCTACCTTTACCTTGATTTTCAGGCCACTTCCTAATAACACAGGGTTTCCACGGGTCATTAAAAATCAGTAAAAGTCATTAAATCTTATTTTATTTTTTAAATTACGGCCTTAATTGGCATTACAATTCATTAAATGTGTTTATTGTGGCATTTAAATGCTTTCTTAAAAAAAAATCTTATTAAAACAATTTCGTCAGACATATTATATCACGATATATTTGCTTGGAACTGCTTCCGGTTCATTGCAAAGACGTATGTTTGAAAAAGAAGCTTGAGTCGGAGAAAAAGCTAGAGAATGAGGAAGAATGCCAATTTCAACAAAAGTTGTTGTAAAACGAGGAATTCGGGGCATGGCTGCAGCCTGCCGACGGCTACCTGTTGGTGGCATTAAAATTATTTCTAAGAGCATTAAATTAGAGTTATTCATTACTGTATAAACCTTGTAATAATAACTGAACTTTATTGATCTGCATTTAACCCATCCCCTTGTGCATCAGCGGGCTGCCATTGTGCGGCGTCCGGGGAGCATTGGTTAAGGTTTTGCTCAGGGACCCAGAGTGCAGGCTGTGGGGATTGAACCGGTACTTGCAACCCTCTCAGAGCACAAATGCACTGCTCTAACCTCTAGGCCAACACTCCCCATTCATAAATCATCAGATCTTGCCTAATATATCTAATAAATCCATCTTCAAACATTGATACACTACAGCTCTAGTTAAAAGTCTTGTGAAAAGTATTTCCCTCCTTACAGATTCAGTTAATCCATTTCTTCTTGGTCTCTTTAAGTCAGCAAACTGTTAAATGCTGATATCAGATGGAAACAATGCTAAAAAAGTACAAGATTTAGGGTTCAAATTAGGATTTAATTGATTAAATCAATATGTAAAAGTAACTGACTGCATTATGTATCTGGCCACCATTTGGAGCCTTTAAGGACAACCCTTGA